CCTCAGAAATCCTCTGAGGCTCAGAGCAACTTATCTATTGCTTGTTCTTGATAAGTAGGTGAGTCTAGTCTAGTTGATGGGTGTGACCGATTCCTCAGGACTGCAAGAAGCCAGTCTGCTCAGTAGCCTCAGTTTAAGTTTGTCCATGTTTATTCTAGTAAGTCTTCTGTGTTTATTCAGAGGCATAGGATAAAAGAACCTGGAAGTCTCACTTTCCAGGTACAAATACACTGGCTCAAAGGACATGGCATGAATTTGGAGGCTCAACTCTAGCTTTTCCAGGTAGTCCCATACTGTGGAGGGCTGGATAAACCACTTCTTTTCTTTTCTTTTTTTTTTTTTTTTACACTTGTTTCTAATTAGTTTTAAATGCATCCAATGAAAAATTCTAAGCTTGTCTTATTTGGTTAGGTCTGGGTCATTTAGTAGAGGTCAGATGCATAATGAAACAGTTATTTCATTCTAACTAGATTGGCCTAGTCACACACACATTAGATTCCCATTGCCGTGTTTGGAGTACTTCTTGGGTGTGTCTTAGCCATTCTCTGCCAGCAATTCTTCATGGCTTAGCTCAGGAGAGTTTTCCCAGAATACTGAAGGTTTGAACAGTCTTTTCAAACTCTGAGTTTTCAGACTTAATTATTATTGTTGGTAATTTGTGTTGCAGCAACTTTTAGTATGTGTGGTTTTGGTATGACTTGGCTCTCCAAACTGAATTGTTTATCTCTGCAGGTCTATTGTATATAGACCTATGAACTTGGTGGTTGTATGTATGGTCTATTCTTTAATAGTTGCTAATTGGTTGTATGAATTACATGTAATAAATGCCATTATTTGAAATAAACGTAAAGCAACTATGAAGAAAAGAAGATACGGTTAACCCCAGGGTTTTTTTAAGTTTAGGTAGGAGATTAGCAAATATACCTAGTGCTTGAAACCTGGGACCATAGACAATGGACTTTGGTAATAACATGAGAAAGACATAGCATATCTTTAGATGGTTTACTTTCAGATGATTAAGATGACTGCTTTCAACTAAACTTATGTGATCTTTTATAATTCTCAAAATTGAAGCATTACTAAGTCATTCAAAGATTGTTTTTCATCTGAAAACACTCATTTAATCAGAGAAAATTAAATGTTTGCATGAAAGCATAATAATAATAATATAAACTAGTTGCCAAATTTTCCCATTATCAGCTGTGCCTTTTGATAGTTCCTTCGGCAGTGTAACAGTGTTTGTTTCTCTACATGCTGGGTAACTTGTTACTGTCTGTCTTTCTAAGTTTGGCCATCCTAGTGCTAGTGAAGTGGTATCCCATTGAACTGGTGTCCCAGAAGTGAAGTGGTATTCCCTATGGCTAATGATTTGGGGCATCTTCTAGTGTGCTTATTGGTTATTTGTGTATATTTGTAAAAATATATATTCAGAAATTTTACTCATTTTTCATTGGGTTATTTGTCTTTTTATTATTGGATTGTAAGGGTTTATAGATACAAGCCCTTTATCAGGTAAATGACTTGCAAATATTTTCTCCCATTCTGTGGGTTGTCTTTTTCACTTTCTGGTGTCCTTTGTAGCACAAGAATTTTAAATTTTGACAATGTTCAGACTTTTTTTGTTTGTTTCTTACACTTTTAGTGCCATGTTTAGGGAATGGTGGTCAAGAAGATTTAATTAAGCTCAGTGTTTTCTTCTACGAGTTTTATATAGCGTAAGCTCTTATAGTTAGATTTGAATCAATTTTTATATATAGTGTGAGGGAAGGGTCCAGCTTTATTCTTTTTGTGTGGCATCCAGTTATCCCAGCACCATTTATTGAAAAGCGTCTTCCAATATTTTTTACCATGGTGAATAGAATTATTATTTAGCATATAAGAAAGCTAGAAATCTAGTGTAATTCTTGATATATGCATCTAGTTTATTATCATGTCCTGCCATTTTTACCCCTGCTTATATTCCTGTTCCCTACCACCCTTGTACAAACTACATTGATCTTTTGTTTAGACTCACATGATAGTGTCCAAACTGGTGTAGTCTCACCAGTCTTACCCTTCATGTTTGTTATTTTCCAACTTCTGCCTGTTTTGTCTTTTCCTTCCTTTCTTTTCCTTTCTTTTCTCCTTTTCCTTTCTTTTCTTTTTTCTTTTCTTTTCTTTTCTTTTCTTTTCTTTTCTTTTCTTTTCTTTTCTTTTCTTTTCTTTTCTTTTCTTTTCTTTTCTTTTCTTTCTTTTCTTTTTTACATGACCACAGTTCAAGGTCTTTCTTTTGCTCTTAGGATTAAGACAAAATTCTGTAGTATGATCTGTAGGGCCTGGTAGGAGGCGCACATACTTACTTGGCCTAGTTTTGGTTTTTATGCCCTCTTGATTTCTTCAATCCAAATAATTCTCAGAACAGTATTTCCATTTCTCCCTTCACCACAGCTACCAGCCTGCCTGCATCCTGTGTTACTCTGCCTTCCTACCTGTAATTTTGTATGAATTTTCCATTCCCTTATCTAAGGCTAGCCCTTCTACAAATTCTCCAGGTTTCATTCCTTTTCATTGAGTCAAAAATGTCACTCGATCAGTTGTTCCATTTCCCATCTGCATTATCAGTTTTTCCTCTACATTCTAATCATTCTGATCAATTTACAAACATGCTGTTATTTCTTCCATCTTAAAAAACAAACACAAAAAGACCCCCCTCAGCTCTTGACTCTGTTTCATTCCAGAGTCCAGTGGTCAGGTCTCAGTCTTCATCTTAACTTTTTAGTAACATTTATCCCAGATATATGTTTAGTAACATATATTCTCCTTGAAATACGTGCTTTTGCCAGACACATGCAGCACTCTTCATTCTAACTTCAGAAGATGGTCTCTTACAAGTTCACCTTTTGGTTTTGGTGTTGCCTTCCTTCATATGGCAGCTCTTTCTGTATTTAGAGAGTTATCATCATGCCCCTTCGGTATCTTATTTTTTATTAAATGAAGTAATCTAATTCTCTTGAATTTTTTTTCAGCTGTTTTTAAGCCCATAAACTGTTCCTGAGGGACTTTATATAAAATATGCTCCAACATAGACCCTATCTATGCACCAACTACTGGAGGATTACTTCCAAAAGGTTTTATGAATAAGGCTCTTGTTTTGTGACTTGGATACTAGACATGGCAATTTCTAACTATTAGTGAAAAGAGAAGTATACTTTAATAGAAAAATTCTTGCACCTGTAGCTTTACTAATCTTTTTTAAACTGATTTCAGAGAAGGAGGGAGGGAGGTAGAGAAATACTGATTTTTTAAAAAATGAATACATTGGTTGATTCTTTATGTTCCCTGACTGGGGATCTAGCCCACAACCTTGGTATATCTGGATCACACTCTAACCAACTGTGCCACCCAGCCAGGGCAAGCTTCACTAATCTCTGATTAGTAATTTAGTTTGTGTTGAGATCCTTGTACTATTGAAATGTACGTATAAATATTAAATAGTTTGGGTAAAAAATAGCTATTTGAGAGCTTATTACTAGTGGTTCAAATGCTATATTAATGGATGTAATCCTGATACTAATTTAAGGTTCTTTTTGTTCCCATTTTATAATATGAAGAAACTTGAGGTACAGGAATCTTAGAAATAAAAGATTTTCAAGAGATTTTTTTTTTAGTTACATTGCCACTGCTGGCAAAGTCAACATATTGATCCTTCTTACTTTTGTTTCTGATCTCACAAGATAAGATAACCATGTCATTGCTTTAAGAGTCGAGTCATTTGGGGGAAATTTTCTCCAATGTTTAATTGAGGGATGGTTCATGTAGCTTTCTGCTGTCCTACTCGGTTTGATGGGATTGAAAAAAGGGCATTCAGTGACTCTAAAACATCTTTACAGCTTTTAATGAAATTTCCAATGTTTCTCTTAAAAGAGGTTTTAAATTTCTAAATTATTATAAAATAATTTCAAGATTTCAGCCTGTTTGTAGTTTCCTCAGAATTTGTAGTCACTAATATCTTGCCATTAAGAATGGAAAAATATTCTGCTCTTTTCTTTTAAGGTGCTTCTTACATGTAACAATGCCTTTTTAATAAATGAGATTAAAAATGTAGTATTTAATTGCTTCTGAACTTGGTCACACTGTGAAGATCCTTTTTTCCACAGCTCTTTATCATTTTATGGAATAGGTGCAAAAAATTTTTCATGGACACAGGCCTCCAAAATGACATTTTAATAATAGAAACTTTAAAAGTTATTCTTCTTTGATCTCATTTGTTGTCTTAAAGAAATGTTGCCTTAAAAAATTTTAGGGGACTATTTTATCTTTAACATGTTGATTATCCAAGATTGAAAACGTTTCACCTGAAAACTTGAAGACTTGTGTCTCTGCAGTGAGATGGTCACTTCAGTTGCAGTACTATTTTAATCAGTGGATGTGTGACAACTGGTGTTTTCTTCTTTGGAAGTTTCAGTGGTGAACTTTTTGTCTTTCTTTCTCCTACTTACTCAAAACTTTTTTTTTTTATTGGTAAAGAACTCAACTCAGGATCCAAGACAAGTGTGGGTTTGGCATTTATTTCTAGAAGTGTGTTAAACAAATTTTTGCTAGCTATGTACTTAGGAAGCTGCATATGTAGGTACTGTGGTTACCATCATCTCTGTGACTTGCTCTGCTTGTTCACAGTCCCTTCACTAACCTGTGCATCCTCTGCTTGTTTGGTCTCTTTTGCTGTTTGCATTTCCTCTTGTTTGGGTCTTTAAATCTGACTTGCTCTTTTGGTGCTTCATTAGAGTAGCTAGGTATCTTTTCTGGACAGTTAAGAAATAAGCTGACCAACAGGGGTGATAAAGTGGCAAAAGTTTAGCTGTTCCTTGTCCTTTGTGTTAAACATAATAAGTTTAGAGAATTATGACTATATGCAATCATTAGGGTCTGCCAGACAGGACATCTGTTTTACTTTTTACTCATGACACTGGTGTAGAAATAGCATCTTTTTAATTTAATGTGAAAATTATTTTGTGTTCTAGCTGGTACTGGTGGCCTAATTTTTGAAATGTGCTTTCTGGAAAAATCAGCACATGGTTAGTATAAAATTATCTTATTAGTACTAGATACTCATTTTTAGTCTGAAAATACTTGTTTTCTAATTGTGGAAAATAAGTTGCTGTGGATGTTTGAATTTTTATTGATTCTAGACTGCATAAAAATGTTTGGTATATGCAAATATTTTCCTTTGGTTTAATTTTTTAGGTTGCACGTTTTCAAAAAATTCCTAACGGTGAAAATGAGACAATGATTCCTGTATTGACATCAAAGAAAGCAAGTGAACTACCAGTCAGCGAAGTTGTAAGCATTCTCCAAGTAAGTGCTTGAGGGGAAAGGAAGGAGTAGATAGTAAGCAAGGTCAGTCGCTTTGACCCTAGATAAGTGCTGTCCAATAGAATTTCTTTGAGGACAGAAGTACTACTCTCTTCTGTGCTCTCCATTATAGTCGTCACTAGTTAGACATGATTATTGAATAATTGAAGTGTGGCTTGTTTAGGGGAGGGACTGAATTTAATTTTACTTAATTTTTATTTACTGAGATTTAGCTGCATGTGGCTAATCACTATCTGATTGAACATACCACTCTAGATCATCAGCATTACCAGGACTCTTAGTGCTATGTAAGGGTTAGTTGAATTAAGAAAATAATTAACTATTAACATAAATAGATACTCTGGTTTCTCTTCAGATTGCATAAATCTTTCGCCTTTAACATAAATAAGAATTAGGAGTTTATCTTTAATGTGTTTTCTAAAGTAAAAGTTAAGTACAAGTTCAGGACTGCAAAAACCTTTAATCTTTTTCTAATTTTGAAAAGCACAATCTAATGAAACATGAAGAAAATATTTTTTGTTTTTCCTTAGCAATTCACATACTTTAATGATGACATTAAAAATATTGCCTATCCTTTATTTGAGGTGTTTTCTTTTTTGATTGTTCTATTTATACTTTTAAAACCACTTATTTTAAATCTATTTAAGTGTTGCAAGACTTCATTATCAGAGTGTATTATAAAACTTTGGCCAGAGAAACTAATTATTTTAGGGGTGTGGGTAATTTCATTCTTTTTTTTTTTAAAGATTTTATTTACTTTTAGAGAGAGGGAGAGGGAGGGAGAACGAAGGAGAGAAACAGGGATGTGAGAGATCAGTTGGCTGTCCCCTTGAGCATCTCGAGCGGGGACCAAACCCACAAACCGACAGACAGGTGCCCCGACTGGAAATTAAACCAGTGGCCTTTTGCTGTGTGGAGCAGTGCGCAACCAAGTTACACTGATGAAGGCTAACTTCATTCTTTAATGATAGTTATAATAATGAATTATGAGAGAGAGTGGCTAAAGAATGTAGGTGGTATTCTTAGAACATAAAATATCCTGATAACCAGTTCTTCTTAACTTCATCATTTTGAGTAATTTAGGAACCAGAGATTTTTCTGCCTGTGTTAATTATGTACAGTATTTTGTCATGTGTAATGCAGTCTTTTGCCCAGATTTTTGAGAAGTAAGGGTACACATTATAAATGGGTAGTACCTGAAATACCTTGTATCTGTTTTTGTGTTTTGTAATTATTTGTTAAATAAAATTTCTTGTACCATAACATGTTCAAAAATAAATGCTAAATTTTGTTTATAATACAAAAAATACGTATCTGAATATAAATTAAACAAATAAATAAATAAATAAATACTTGAATTAAAAAATTAAAAAGAAAGATTTTTTCCCCTGAAAGTTTGGGCTGAAAACATGGGTGCTCATTATACATGGGAGTCCATTATACAGGGCAAAATACTGCCCCGTATAATACTGTCCAAGAGGAAAAGGTAATAAATACCATCTTAAAAGTTTTGATAGGCTTTAGAGAACAAGGAAGGTTGTTCTAGCCCATTTAATGTTCTTTTGGAGAAACTAATTTTAGAAAACAAAACAACAATAAAAACAAAGAAAAGATAGTTAGAATATACTGATGTTTTTCTTTCTGTGAGAGTGGCTGGTTTCTATTCTTCCTTTTTCCCCCAACAGGAAACCATTTTTGTTTTGTTTTGTTAATTAGACTCTTATTGCTTACATTTAAAAAAACCGATTTTAACCAAGTATAGTTTATGTAAGGTAGACCATATCCATATTTTGTGTACAGTTTGCATTTTGACAAATGTAACCACCACTGCAATTAAGATATAGAAAATTTTCATCATTCCCCAAAACTCCCTTATGTTAATCCTTTGCAGTTAATCCTTTTGGCCCCAGGCAACCATTGATGTGCTTTCTGTCCTCATATTAGCTCTCATTGTTGTAGAAGTTCCTATAAATGTGATCATATAGTAAGTACTCGTTTGTGTTTTTCTTCTTTCGTTCTCTGCCAGCCTTTTCAGTAACTTTTATATGTAAATTCTAATAGGCGGATCTTCAGAATGGTCTAAACAAATGTGAAGTAAGTCATAGGCGAGCCTTCCACGGCTGGAACGAGTTTGACATCAGTGAAGATGAGCCACTATGGAAGAAATACATTTCTCAGGTGAGATATTACTTCTTCCTCTGTTGTGTAATCCACATGTATTTTTGTCAGTGTAGTTACTTTTGTTAAGTTATTTGTGAAAGGAAATAATCTTTAAAAATGTTTTTTACCTAAATTTTTTCATTTGTTACAGTATACTCTTAGGTTGAAATTTCTATAACTTTTAGTACACAAGTCTTTCAGGATTTATAGACATATCACACAGAGGTCATACTGTTAATAGTAGTTGAATCCAGAGCACCTGGGTACATATTTCTCCTTTATTTGTAGTATCTGTATGATTTTATTATCCTCTGAGCCTTGTTTATAAATGGGGATAATAATCATAGGAGATAGTATAATAATTATCAATAGATGATAATTATTTTTAATAACATTTTCTCAGTAGCTTAATCTTTTCAGCAAGACTATAGGATTTTTTCTTATCTTGACAAGAAGTTATGTTAGTGTAAAAAGTTCTAAATCCTATTGCCAATTTTCAAATTGTAGGGTTGTTTTGCCAGACAGATTTCTTTTTCGTAAAGAAAATTTCTGATGCCTTTTAACCTGCAGGTTCTTTTTCATTCATTCATTCATTCATTCATTCATTCATTCATTTTAACAAGGATCTGTGCTTAACTTTTCTAAAGGGCCTTGTCTGTTAATGAGCCCAAATTTTCCGGTATTATCTATGCAAAGGATTTGTTCAAAGTAGAAGTACTGAAGTTTTAGACATTAAAAGAACCTTGTGTGTGTTTGTTTTGTTTTTATGGAATATTTTTATGTGCATATTTGTATTCTGACATTTCAACATTACCTAGAGCTTCAGGAAGTTTACTCCGGATTTATAAACTACAATGATTCAACTTAACCCTAGGCAGTATGAGTTAGTGTTTTACTTTCTTGATGCTCTTTCAAAGCTAGAGTACTTGCATCGTGGGATTGCTGTGAGAATGAAATGAAACTGTGCCTATAATGTAGTTAAGTACAATCAACAATTGATAGTAAATATTACTTGTGAATCATAAAGCATTGGTTGATCTGCTTCTCTACAGATAACACGGTTTATTTTGCAAACATTTGTCTGGGGCCCGCAAGTTGTGTCCTTAGTACTATGGCACAGCTTTTTTAGGGAGAAATGGAAAAACACCATGGGCCTTGTCCTCAATGTGTGGTGATAACATCTAACCCTGAAGAGGGTTTTATGGTTTACACAGTGTTTTAATATACATTCTTAGTTGATCCTACCACAGTCTTTGGTGTAAGGTAATATTTTACTGGATGAAGAACCTGTGGGGCTTAATGAGATTAAAAATCACACACACATGGCAAGAGCTGGATTCAAACTGGGACTCTGATTCAGTCAAATGTGTGGTTTGTCAGCTCTGCACCACGTTTCAGTTGTAGTTTTATTTTGCAGGAGCAGTGATTTGTAGTCCTCTTTGCACTAAAGTAACTTGGGGAGTGCTCTAAAAATGCTGAAGCCTGGGCCCTATGCCCAGAGATTCTGATTTAATTGCTCTGGTGTGAACCTGCGCATTTGGTTAGAAGTGATTCTGATACGAAGCAAGGTTTGAACCACTGTACTAGGGAATGGAACCCTAAAGCGAGTGGGAGATTGTGACATCTCACCTCAGAGTGGTGGTATCCCGGGGCTGGGGCTCTCTGCTGGGATGGGTTCTTCATAGCCTAGTACTTGGCAGCTTTGACTGCAATTGGCACCACTGCATCAGAGGAAGAGATTCTTCTGGCAACAGAGTTCTGATGTTTAAGGAATAGGATGTCCCACTAAAAAAAAAAAAAGTGGAGTGGCTTTGGTGCTTAGTCATTTAAATGCTGCTTGATTGAGTTGGGTATGTAGGACTGTTCTTTATATACTATTGGTCCTGCCTGAGTGAATATTAGGAAAAGCAGCCTTAGGAAAAGGCTGCTTCTGTGGAGGGGATCTTTCTGTTCTTTGCTGCCCCAGGTGGTTATTCCTGTGGTCTGTGGGTCTACCACCGAGTTGTAATCTGCACTAATTTTTCCTTAGTATAGGAATGTTTTAAGCTAATAATTTAGGTGTTCGACCCAGTGTTTCACGTAAATCTTTAGCTTAAACATTATTTCCCACTTATTCTAGCTTCAGTGGAAATCTAAAACAGTTATATATATTATTAATATACTGAAATACATGTGCACTATAAGAAATTGATAACTTCTTAGTTTAAGTATTGATATTTAATTTTCTTTTTATCTGCAAGGGTGATGTTATAAAGTGGTAATTTAAATGTAGTTAAGTGTAAATTTTTTGTTAATTGGAGAGGTAAATAAGCTACATATAGACTTGTAATTTCTAATCATGCCACAATTGTTTTTCTTTTTTCAAGCTTTTGCAGTGATGGAACCCAACTGTCATTCATACAAAACTGTTGAATTGCTGTTTGTTTTCACTTTCAGTTTAAAAATCCCCTTATTATGCTGCTTCTGGCTTCTGCAGTCATCAGTGTTTTAATGCATCAATTTGATGATGCTGTCAGTATCACTGTGGTAAGGAAATATATATATTCATATTTCACACTGTGGGTTAACAATATACATTAGGATTGGCTTTTATTTTGGAAAATGAATTAAGAAATGCCTTAATGTTTTTTTAGGTCTTTTTTTGGGGTTAATATCCAACTTGCTTTTAGTTGTAATCTCAGAGTGTTCAAGGGTCAGTGATTGGCACATGTGAGAATTATTTAACAATTTGGTAATATAATAATTTTCTATTTGTTTTACTTTCCAATTGAGACTACATTTTGACTAACTGTGAACTAAAGCCTCATGTTTGTGAAAGTAAAAGTATTATTTAACAGTGCATATTACATTTACTATGTAAGATTTTACTCTTTCCAGCTAGGTTATTCTTTCATTGAAAGTTTTCTCCTCTTTTTTTTTCCCTTGCCCCTTGTTTCATTGTAGTATAAAAATTTATAGCAAGTACAACCATTGATTAAAGCAAGTATGTTGTGCTTGAGAACACAGTTGAAATTAATGTAGAGGTGCAATTTTTGAACCCTTGCCTGTGGACTCCCAGTAGTCTCTGAGACCCTTTCAGGGAACATGTGAGGTCAAACTATTTTCATGATGCTAAAACATCATTTGAAATCACCTTCCCCAGGTGATCTCAGTCTTTTCACTGTAGATACTTGCATCAGTGGTACAAAAGCAACAGCGGGTAAAACAGAGCCTTGGCTTGACTCAAGACCAACAAACTGTATTAGTACTTACTTATGGTTTTCTTTTCTTACTTCTCTTAGAAATGTTTTGATAAAACAGGAGGGATTTTATTAAATCTTGATACCTTTTTAGTATTCTGTGTAAATGGAAAGTATGCATAAAGAACTTTTATGTACTCAAGTATAGTGGTTGTCTTGAGGAAGGGTGATTGCGGTGAGATGAACCAGCCTTTCATTTGAAAGAATGACTAACAAACTAGTTATTAAGACTAGACGAACAAGTACTTTTTTTGAAAAAGTGAGTAAAATGAGCCTTTCACTTCAAGAAAAACAACTGTTAAAAATTTATTGCCAGTGATAAAATTCAAGCTTTCAAGTGATAGAATTTTGCAAAATTTTTATGCATTACTTTATGTTAGATAGCTTCCCAGTATTTAAGACTTTATTCTAATGAGATCAGTAGTGAGTTCAATGAATGTGATTTTTTTTTTTTTACTATTACGAAATGTGTTAGCATTTGGAAGATTTGAATAACCAGGTGAATCAGTGTTTTGTAAATGGCCAGAGCATGAGACACAATTTTTAATATAACAGTATATGAAAAGTTCATTGATAAAGTTTTATATTCTACACTGCGCAGTACTTTTAAGTTGCTAACACTTATCCAATTTTGGTGTAGTAGCAAAGAATACTATCCACGATCCTCTGGAAAGGCTTTTAAGCCTTTTTCTTTTTTCCAATAATATCTGTGCGAAGCTGGATTTCCTTTATATACTTTGGCCTAATCAACATAGCACCGTAGATTAAATGCGGAAGCAGATATGAGAATATAGCTTTCTCTTAAGATGGGCATTAAAGATAGAAAAGTTGAAAACTTACTTTTCTCACAGTTTTTATTTTTGAGGGGGAATATATTTTTTCATTAAAAATGTTATGTGTTAACATGTAAAGGGTTTATTATTTTTAGATGAATTAATAAGTAGAAATGAAAACAGTAATTGAAAAAGTATTTAATATGGCAGGTTTCAAGAGATATTACCTACATAAATGAAAGCTAGTTCTCAGTTTTTTAGAGCATTAAGGGACCCTGAGATCAAAAAGTTTGAGAAGCCTGACTTGGGGGAGGCGGTGTCTTCTCCACAGAGCAGGGCAAAGTTGTGATTTCTTCCCCAGATGATCTCAGTACTTAGCGTCACATGTCTTTGGACTGCAGATAGAGGTGGGAAAATAAAATACAACTAACAGTTATTTCTGAAGTTATAATGTGTGATTTAAAAGGATTTTTTTTGTTTTGTTTAGGCAATACTTATCGTTGTTACAGTTGCCTTTGTTCAGGTAAGTAGGTAGCCTGTTTTTCCAACATGAAATTGATGTTTTAATTAATTGCTTAAAAAAACTAAGGTAACTTATGGCAGAATCTGTAGTTACTAGGGGATGATAATGTTGGTCAGAACAATTTATTATTTATTTATGAAATAATTTCAGAAACAAACAACTCCCCAGGGAAAAGTTTGTGGGACTAACTTGACTGCTTTGATTTAGGTAGTAGCTTGAAAGAAAATCTAGTTTCTTATTTGATGGTGTTACAGATAACTGAAGAAGATGGAAACAAAAAGCACAGTAATAGATATATATGTATATATCTATCAGTAGGATTTAAACATTTTTTTCCAATTAAAAAATTCAGCCAGAGTTTAAATTTCTCATTCTTCCATAGACAGGATGTTCTGATCTGGATCAAACTCCTTACGTAGCATAGACATTGGAACAGTGAAATAAACATGTGAAAAGAAACTCTTTTTAAAAATTAATTTGGATAATGTGGAGATAATGTCAGGATTTTTATTGACTGTTATAGACAGGAATAAAAACATAGGCTTAGTTTTATGTTTATTTAAATATGATTTCTTCTGAGAACAGTGTTAACAAGTTTCATTTTATTAACTCAATGTTCTAAAGCATGGTTAATAAGAATATAAGCGAGGATTATTCTAGTTGAGGGAAAAATGTAATATATATATATGATCCTGAAGTTGTTTTGAGTCTTAAGACTGTACTTTAAGTAATTTTGGTTGTTTTCACATGACTTATTTCTTGGGTATTTATGTTAGATACCCAAATATTAGATATCTAATATTTATATTAGATATTCTATAGTAATATCTAATTTAATACGTTTATTAGCTTTATAGAAACCCAGAGTAGAGAAACCAGTTAGAATCAGATTGCCTGTAGCAAGGTCGTGAGCTCCCTCAGTGCTGTCAGGGATCCTGTTTCTAGGGAATCTTCTTGCTTAAAATAGAAAAAACTTGCCCTGGGGCTGGTGGGCCTTGTTAGGCTGGCAGAGTGTGTCCAGGCTGTCACTCAAGGCAGCTGTTTATTCAGCCATGTGGGTGGTAAGACCCACTGGATCAGTAACTGGAACCCTTTCGTATTTTTAATAATGCTGTAGATATATGGAGTGACTTTCTTCATTAAAGGATCCTTGCAACATTATCACTGTGTATGGAATACCTTAGTAGCTTGTTGTTTTGGTAAATAGAGAGCTCCTACCCTCAAAATAAACCAAACAAACGTACAATTACAATGAAATTTTATTTATTTATTTTTAGAGAGGGGGAAGGGTGGGAGAGAGAGGGAGAGAAACCCATTGTGTAGTTGCCTCTTGCACACACCTACTGGGGACCTGGCCTGCAACGCAGGATTGTTCCCCCACCGGGCATTGAACTGGTGACCCTTTTGTTCCCACTGGTATTTCAGTCCAGCTAGGGCTAAAATTGCATTTTAACATAGTTGATGTGGAAGTTTACACAAAGGTAGTGTAAAAGTACCTTTACTTTCACTTTAAATGCAGCAGCTGAAACCATCTACTCAATATCTTTATGATAGGTCAGTTGATGGAAAACACAAAGAATCAACACATTTATGAAGACTCCAGTTTCAGATTGATCTGGTTTCTTGTACAGATGTGAGTCTTTCTCCTAGGGTACCTATGAAACCAACAAAAATTCTGTAGACAGCAATTAAAAACACTTTCTAAAAAAGATCCTATGTATCGTCACTTGAATTTATCATAGTGCTTTGTCAAAAAACTATAAAAACCAGAAATTTGTAATGCTTTATCATTATTTAGTATTTGTGTTTTACCTGTGTTTTAGGGGGGAAGTACTTTTTATATTTACTTTACATTTATATCTATCCTTTTTTCCCTATCTCTTTTTAATGTAATTCCCCATCCCATTATGCACCCTCATAGCCATAAAATAGCTAATTGTTTTTATATAGTCATATACTGATACCACCTTACAATAAATTTAAAATGATAACTTTTAGGCATTCTATTAAAGATGGTTATCAGGTTTTTGGTGGTGTGTTATGTTAAATGGTCATTTTGATAATGGAGGTATCTTTATAGTTTTAGGAAATAAAGGCTAAGAAATCTGAAGAGGGAGGTAAAGATTGGGCAGCTTTTATGTCATTTATTTCTAGGATCTAAGATTGGTGAGTGTTTTCTAGCCTTTTGTGGAATTTTTAGGTAATACTTCCAAATTCTTTAACATCCTTGGGGCGGGATGTCTTGTAATTTTTATATTTATAGATTTACCTCACTGTTACATTTGTTCCTCTTGCCCAGGTGAAGACTGATTTAGTTCTAAGTTATTCTTATACAACTTTGCATTTTTTATTTGAAAAAGTTTGTGATGGATATGAAATTCTGATTAGTACTAACACTGCAGTCATTTTAAAACACCCCCCACCTTTCACTCCCTCTGCTCCTTTTCCCTTTTCATCTGATTGACACTGACTGGTATGGCTCAGTTGGTTGGATGTCGTCCCACAAAATAGAAGGTCACTGGTTCAATTCCCCGTCAGGGCACATGTCCTGGATTCCGTCCCCTGTTGGGGCACATAACAGGAGGCAATCAATCAATGTTTTTCTCCTTTGCTTTCTCCCTTCCATCCCCATCCCCCCCTTTCTCTAAAAATTTAAAAAAAAAAACTAAAATCTTAAAAAAAAACAAACAAAATTGGTGTGCTTAGTGCAGTCATGAGACAGAAATAGTGTTGCTGTATGAAGCAAGACTACCCATGGAAATATGTACTAAATAGTATTCCAGTTGGGGCTTCTGCGAATTTCCACTTACGCATAATTCAGGGTGATACGAGAGGCGTCTGTCAAGGTAGGGCAGGCCACATCTTACTCCTTCTTTAAGGTATGTTCTTTTCAGGCAAACTTACTCCATAAACCTCTTCAGTTAGCAAGGATTTAAATCCTCAAATCAGATGTTGCTTGTGGTTAAATGTCTTTGACAACTTTGATCATTGAACACTAGAAGAAAAATTAAGTCTCAGTGAACTTAATTTATAATAACTGAAAATTGTATACTCTTTGGACACACTAATCAGTTTTCATTTTCTGATAAATAACTTGACTTTGGGTTTGCACACTGAATATTAAAATATAAAATGGGGACTATTTAATAAACAAAATTGTTTGGTCACTGTAACATTTTATAAGGGGCAAGCTTGCATATACAGAATGTAATTGCACATAAAGGAAAAGATAAAAATTAGGAAATTAAAAAAAAGATTTTATTTGCTCATTTTTTAGAGATGGGAAGGGAGGGAGAAAGAGAGGGAGAGAAACATTAATGTGTGAGAGACATGGAACAGCTGCCTCTTTTGTGCCCCCAACCGGGGACCTGGCCTGCAACCCAGGCATGTGCCCTGATTGGAAATTAAATGGGAGACCTTGTGGTTTGTGGGAATCCCAACCCACTGAGCCACATTGGTCAGGTCTAGAATTGGGAAATTTTAAAATAATGATTGAGATCAGTATTTAACTAAGTTTGATACGGAATATGTTCTTAGGAATATATTTACATTTCTTTATAAATGTTGATTTTAATATTTTGTTCTGCTTTTTTTGCATAGGAATATCGTTCAGAAAAGTCTCTTGAAGAACTGAATAAACTTATGCCACCAGAATGCCATTGGTATGTTCCTGTCTCTGATAGGGATGTCTGCTCTTAACAATAGAAACCGAATGTGCTAGTGGGCGGGTACATGGTGGCCTCAAACTTGTTAGACATAAGGTGGAAGTCATCAGTCTGACATTAAACAACTTCATGCCCTGTTCGGTGTAGCAAGTTGTACTACGAATACTTTAAAGTTCTGATTTTTATATTGTTAAGGCATGGGCTTGTTCAACAGATGTATTTGTGTGTGTGTGTGTGTGTGTGTGTGTGTGTGTGTGTGTGTGTGTAACCATGTGTTGAGCACTGTTGTGGGGACAGTGCTGCACAAATAGACCAGGTGGTTTATCTCCTTAGGCGCACCCACTGGAAATCGTTTTTTTAAATAGTGGCATGACTTTCTTTTTTGAGCCCTGGTTGTTTCTGTTTCACGTCACAGTGTGCGTGAAGGGAAATTGGAACATACACTTGCACGAGACTTGGTTCCAGGTGATACAGTTTGCCTTTCCGTTGGGGACAGAGTTCCTGCTGACTTGCGCTTGTTTGAGGTAAGTTCGTTGTCTTAGTCTGTTTGTGCTGCTCCAAAATTCCACAGACTGGATTGCTTATCATCAGTTTCTCACAGTTCTGGAAGCTGGAAAGTTCAAGATTACGGTCACACTGTGGTTGAAGTCTATTGAGGGCCCTCTTCCTCATTCACAGATGAATCCTTCTCACTGGGTCCTCACCTGGTGGAAGCAGCTAAGGAACTCTGTGGGTCTCTTTTATAAGAATGCTAATCCTATTGACGAGAGTACCACCCTTGTGACTAACCTTATGTCTATTATGGCTAAGTACCTCTAGAAGGTCTCACTTCCTTTTTTTAAAAAGATTTTATTTATTTATTTTTGGAGAGAGGGGTAGGGAGGGAGAAGAGAAGGAGAGCATTGTCAGTGTGTGGTTGCCTTTCACGCACCTGCTGTTGGGGACCTAGCCCTCAACCCAGGCATATGCCCTGACTGGGAATCGAACTGACAACCCTTGGTTCACAGGCTGGCACTCAATCCACTGAGCCACACCAGCCAGGACAGATCTCACTTCCTAATACCTTCATGTTCAGAGTTAGGATTTCAGCATACGAGGGAGGGGGAGACACAGATACTTAGACCATAGATTTTATGATTCGTGAGAAGTGAATATACTTGGATGGAGATTAAATAATAGACCATTAGCAGTTTTAAGGATTAACACATAGCTAATCTGAACATTTGGTTTTCTGATTTAAAAGGTGACATATATAGAATTTTTATAATCAGTGAGTATACTATTTGTGTACACAAATCTCTCACCATAAAATTAGATAGAACTTGTTGAGTAAGAAAAGTACTAAGAATGCACTATAAAAATTTAGAAAATGGAGTGGTTACTTGTGATTTGAGCAGAATCAGAGAATGCCTCAGAAACATGGCTTTAATGGCAATAATTGAAGGGTGGGACTGGACAGAGATGGAGAAGACAAGGAAGGAACATTATTCAGATCACTGTAATGTGTTCCAGTGTATAATACGGGGCTGGTCTTGGAATATGTTCAGGATAGAAAATATATGGTGGAATCAGATTCAGGAGGGCCATGGATACAGAACTCCATTTCAGATTTTATTGGCTAGGAATTAGCTTTGAGGATCATAGGCAGCTGGCAAATGATATTACCCTTAATGTGGCCACAGCATGTAGAATAGATTAAAGGGATGGAAAATGGAGTTGGAAAGCTAGTTTAGGAGGCCCTCACAGCCCATTAGCATGCCAGTACCATCTATTATAGGAATTAATCGGCTGTTTCTTAACACCTATAGAGCTATCAGTCTGTGAAAACTTACTATATCCCAAAATATGAGTGTTTTATACAGAGGTTATGGGAAACCTGAAGAACCTTTTGAAGTATAATAAACTTCATTTAACCTTGAAATAATGGTCTTTTTTACAAATACTTAAAATTTATCCTTAGATGTCAGGCAGGGAATGTTATTAATTTTATTTTACTTTTTTTCTCCCCTTGGTAGGTCTTTCTATTGTATCTTTCATTCATTTTTCCCCTCCCTGCCTCCATCTTAATATTTAGTTCATGACAAGACCTTGGATTGTTCTTCCTTAGACTTGATAGGGATTGTCACTTAGTACAGATCACCTTCCCTTCCCTAACTTAAATTCATGGAGCTCACGTCATCCTTTACGCAGGAATGCTTCTCCTCCAGTTCAGAAACAGACCTCCTCAGTGGGTGTTTCTCATTATTCGAACAATTTGAACAGTATAATGACATAGAAACTTAAAAGCACCATTTGGAATGGTAAAGTATTTCAGAGTTTTCATTTAAATAAGGGTTAATTGATCTGTGAACTAATTATCTCCAAGTTCATGTGCAAATGGGAGAAAACTTTTCAGATTAATATGTATTTTATCCACTGAGCAATTATGTATTAAAGATTTACCATAAATTCAGTAACAGGGAATTTTGACCTTTTAAAGTTTGATGCTAAAAATATTAAAGCATATGTTTTGTTAGCATATGAAATAATTTATTAGTTTTGATTGTTTTTCCCTCTGTATTAACTTTTCAGACACTTCATCAACTTATGTTTGGCTTGGCAGTGCTATTTGGATTTTTCCACTTATACATATATAGTTGAACATCTTTGATTCCCTCTATCCCTTTTTGGCCCCATTTATTTTACCTTCTACCTGGTACCACAAGCAGGCTGTTGTAACTACTTTCCCAGTAGATGGAGATAACTTTACTAAAAGATTAGAGAAAATCTCCTGCTTCTTCTAGATTTAGATGTACTGACTTAACACATAATAAGGCTTATAAAGTCAATTTCTCTACTATACACAGATTTTTTTTGGAATTAAATTGGCTTATTGGAGTGTTGTTTGCTGAATTTGGCTGAGGTGTGATCTTTGGACAGTTTTGTAAGGCCAGCTGGTCATTTGAAGTTCCTGCATGAAACAAAGTATTAGGATTTAAAGGAAACAACAAAACTCCTCAATTCATCTTGGGATTGTATAATCCCAGGGATGTGTTAATCCCTCACAAAGTGTATATATAGTTCTTATCTTGTGCACTTGACCCAAGGCCACGGTTGCTATTTTAGCATTGTCATGTTGCAATTCTAGGGTTCCTGTCATTAATTTCAGTGGTTCAGATATTGACTATAAATCTTGCCTGGGCCTTCAGTAGCATTTTGTCACCATATTCGGTGACTTGAACGCATTATCTTTTAATAGGTTGTGACTTAAGTCAGCACAGGCTGCTATAATAAAGTAGCATACACTGGGTGGCTTAAACAACGGGCATTTATTTCCTGTAGTTCTGAGGCTGGGAAGTCCACAGTCAGGGACTGACAGAATTCAGTTTCTGGTGAGGACTCTCTTATTGGCTTGTGTGGGGCAACTTTGTCTGCAAAGTGCCCCCGTCCTCCATGGATAAAAGTGAAATTACCAAGACATGATCTGTCTAGGGAGGAGAGGTGGCCAGTCTCTCAGAGGAGAAAAGCCAAGAGCCCCTTCCTCAACAGCTTTTATTGGGTTGTAATACACAGGAGTACAGGGCGGCAAGGATCAAACAGTAGATAACATTTCAAAGAAATCTGAGGGCTTAGTCTGAGTCAGTGTCTGTCAGGTAAGGGGGTTGTGAAAACTTTGGGAGACATACTCATTTCCTGCTCGGACCCTTATCATATGAATGAAAGCACTCTTAGCAAAGCGGGCTTCACAGGACTTTAGGAATTCTTTCTTATGCCCGATCACCCTGGATCCTGCTCTAGCTGGCAAGGGGCTGCACTGCCTCCCCCATCATAGGTTTTAGGCTTAAGTGGATTAGAACCAGGAAGCACTTCTCCCAGACGGAAATGGGGACTTGGGCTCTGTCAGAATAGCTGGGGGGTGAGGGTCCATCACTCCCTCTTTTTTGCAGCCCCCCAAGTCCTTCCATGATGGCCTCCCAAGTGACTGTGTCTGGCTTAGGTTGCCCCCCTCTGAGGGGTCGTACCTGTCATAGACTAACCAACCAAGCATTAGAGGCTGGGGATGAAGCAGAGACAAGCTTTGTCTCCTTAGTGGCTCATATTCTGGAGGTCGCTCACTCAGCCTTAGCCATGGGGGGGCAGTTACAACTCCTGAAACCAGGCAGAGTGGTTCCCAACAGCCTTGCAGCCTTCTTGCTGTGTCTTTATACCGCACAGAGAGTGATCTCTCCCTTTTCTTATAAGGCCACTCATTGCATTATGAGGGCCTCACCCACATGACTTCATCTAACCCTAATTACTTCCCAAAGCCTCTTCTCCAATTACCTTCCCTTTGTAGAGTAGGACTTCAACATGAACTTTAGGGGGGCACATAACAGGCTGAGACTGTCATTTGTAGACATTTAAAAAATACTAATGTTGGTAACTTGAGGAATTCTGGTTTTTGTTTTAATTTTTTGCCCGAGTCACATTTTCAGAGCCAGAGAATGTGCCCATAATGTGTTGGTAGAAGTGATCTTAACAGCTTAGAAGCCTTAGAGTTGGGAGAATGAAACTTAGGGATTTTGAGCTATGAGCATGTTTCTCACTTTTTTCCTGAGGGTTTTAAGTTTAATGTTTAACAGTATTTGAGAAAAGGCACCCCTGGTCCATTAATTGGTGGTAGCCAGTGGATTGGTCAGACAGTGACTTTAGATGAGGCAGTATTATGGACTATGCATATCTCTATAACTCTACATTTTGCCTTTTTGGAAACAGTGTATTTTCTATATTGTTCTGGCTAAAGTCTATACTAATATTTGAACAAAGAATTCTTTATAAGAGAAAACAATGTAAGAGAGGAAAAGGAGGTTTCTTTTGTCTGTAACTTTCTGAGTTGTAACTTTCTAAGCTCAAAACATTGTTTGAAATGTAGCAAGAATTTCTTTCACTTGAAATTCTGAATGATTAATTCCATTGACATTTCTTTCTGTGGCTCATGTGCTTTGTGTTGTTAGCCCATATCATTCTTTGAAACTGTCTTTAATATCTAGACACTGGGTACAATTGCCTTCTTTTAAAAAAATAATTTTATATGATTTTCTGAATGTATCAGACTTTTTTTTAGAGAACTACCACTTATGTGGCTGAGAGCCACATAAAGGGTGGGGCAGATGTAGGCTTATAATTGTGAATATGTGAAACACAGTTTATTCTTGTGTTAGTATTTATTGATATTATTTTTCATATAAACAACTATAAATCTACTTTTGCCCCAACTGCATTAATTATTGTTATGGCACTAGATTATCAGACCATTGAAGTCTGGGCAGAAAGATAACACTTCTAGGAGTTAAGTTCTACTGGGGCAACTCAGAAGTCTGGACTTAGAATAGTGAGTTCTCTTATCTCATGCATCTCTCTACTTCGTTAGGGACGGTAGTATGACTCTCAGTGCTTTCGGTGTCTTTAGGCTCGCTCCTTCCTGTTTCTTAGCTCCCAGGACAAGTAAAAATCAAAGGTAATGAGTCGAATGAACACAGGTCTACTCTGGCTGCCTACAAACTGG